AGGATTTGATTTATTGCCCAAATTCAGACAAAATGTTAATAGGTACTGTTTTTGACAGGACAGCCTTATGACAGAACCTTCTGCAATGGAAACTACACTGCAGGACTATGGTTAAAATGCACAGCTATCACACAGAATACAATCAGATGTGATAAAATGGACATATACAACATGTAGAGCTCCATAATCTTTTTAATATAACATACACAACTTCAGTATCCAACTGAAGTATTTTTTTTTCATTCCATAAACCCAACTTACTCAAACTTTTATCATTTCTTTGTTTTGTGCTGTGTGTCAAACAAAAACAATGTCAACCCTAAAATAAAAGCCTCATTGTAGTATGCAAATATTACGTATACATGTATTTCTTATCTACAAAATTCTTAAATTTTTCTACATTCTACTGTTGGAACATACTTAAACCAAATGAGATCATGTGCAAAATTTCAGCTTGAGATGCAATTTTTTGTTGCTTGATTGGTCAAGGAACTTGTCTACTGTTTTATGGGTTAGTTGCATTGTGTCCTCCTTCTTTACTTTGTGGTTACCACATGGAGCAAAAATATGGCCAGTTACAAAAAAAATTTGTATATGCAGTTTTGAACTTTGAGATTAAGATCTGATCCTAAAAAAAAATCCTAATATATCTAATTTTCTTAACACTAGGAGATCGAAAAATAAATTCATCTTTTAGTTTTCCTTTACTTTTAAATTTGTTTCAGCAAATAAAGTGTTTTGACTCCTACACCATGTCTTCTCTTTTAGTCCACTTGTCATTAGCTTCATGAACCTTTTAATTTTTGTGGAAGTTTGGTAACTGTGTACAGGCATAATATCCTTAAATTACCACACCAGTAAGAGTACTACAAAAATTTATTTTATCAGTATTTTAACTGTAATAGATTTTCATTAATACACTGTTATTAAATAACAGCAGCTTATTTTTTTTTACAAAATTGGTATATAATATCCATGTTCAGGTTTTAATATTTTATTTTAATACACTATATGATATATTGTTTTATTTAGAGCAAAAATCAAAACTTTTTAATCTTTTTTTATATGCAATGTTTTCAAGAGTCCAAAGTATTGATATGTCCATTAGCATATTTGCATAATACAAAAAATGTCACATTATTGAAACCATGAGAAATATATACGTAATACAATCATTATGAGTCTTCTGAACTATTCTGGAAAGTTAAATAAACCCATTAGAAATTTTGTAAGTTATGTTATAGAAGTTATTTTTTTTATCATCTTTAATCAATTACAAAAATAATAAAGGAAGATGAAATGTTTACCTCTCAAGTTTCAGAACTAGCTGGTCCTCAGTTGAAAAAAAAAATCTGTTTCTGAAAATTATCAAGCACCAACAAAGATGTTCTTTAGTTTAGAACTGTTCAGATGTCTTGTCTGCTGTTAAGCATAAAGCCACACAATGGGCTGTGTTATGCCCACAGCAATATAGTTTTTGTATACTTGATTTGTCAAAAATCCTCACTAATTACGTAGCATTTGTGATTAAATCATTTGAGATAAACTAATAAACCTGATTTGATTTTAAATACAAATATATTGTGTTGGCACATTTTAGTAAACGAGTAAGTAAATGTTATGGAGTTTGTAGCAAGATGGATTTGACAAGTGAAACTAGCCACAACTGTTTTGTTAGGTGAAGTACAAATTAAGCTATTTTTCTCAAGAAAGTATTAATACCATGAAGCTTTATTTACAGTCAGGCAAAAAAGGAAAAGAATTAATAAAATAAAAACATTATCCAGATCAGAAGCCTTCTAGTTTTTCGAGTAGAATTTCTGCTCCTTTGAACTTCTTTTTTGCCAATACTTTGTGGGCTTCCTTCATCTCGGTATTTATTCGGGAAATTACAGAAGGAATTCCAGTCTCTAAAAGACTGAAATACATGAAACAGATTCTATTAACAGCATGAAATCTGACACTAATTCAAAATTCTATACATAGAAATAATGAGAAAGGATTGTATCATAACTGAAAACTAATACTCTTAAAAGAATTTGTTTTCTGTATGGCCAGGAAATGTGTCTATTTATTTGTTATTTGTTTAATTTGAGATAATGACTAAATTAATTATCACTATTCTGTAAATGAGCTTATGTCCGCAGTTTCTTAAGAATGAAATTAGGTTCACATAAACAAAATAAAAAAACAGGAAGTATACACAGCTAATATTGTAATTCATTAGATTGTATATATAACTACAAGAGAACTTGCCTGATGTTAAGATACATGTTTTTCAAAATAATCTTATCAAAAAAACTATATATGCATTTTTATTTCCTACTGATTAGTTTTGCTTATGAAATAATAACATTACTAGCATTACCAATACTATTGAATCCAATTTTGAGTATATATTTTTTAAAACACTGTTTTTATTAACTGCTTGATCAATTAATTTAAAACATCCAACATTTATAGCTAAAAAAAATTAACTGATAGTCAAGCATGTGTAGGCAACAAAATTCATGAAAGCTAGCCAAGTCTTTTAATATTTTGTGACTGTTTTAGAACTATAATTCTAAGCTACACAAAGGGCTATCTAACTGTGCATAACACAGGCCTGTGAATTTAAACTTCATAAAAGCTGTTTTGGTTTTAATAATGAATATTCCATAATTCAGCTAAGCAGATTTCGAAAATAATACAAATTTTTTTCTATCATGTAAGGATTTTTTACAAATTAAGAAGAAGAAAAAAAACTTACTCAGATCAAATTATTATTTCATTTACCACAAATATAACAGAATATGTTTGGGTCATTTATACAACCTCTTATTGCCATAGCTACAAACAAATACTATCTA